TAATACATATTTGTGGTGGGTAGAAAATTCTACTTTTTCTACTAACCCATGAAATATGTACATAGAAAAAGGGAATACTATTTGGGAAGTTTTCCATTTTGTTGTGTCATAATCTTCCTATTTCAGCGTCCTGTGCAGCTGGAAGGAACTACGGGTGTACACCACCATGCCTAGTTCTTTCAGGCAGGGTCTTGCTGAGTCGCTCACACTGGCTATGATCTTATGATGCTCCTGCCTCATCCTCATGAGTAGCTAGAATTACAGTTGCGCAACATCATGCTCAGCTTTTCAGGGTGGGTTGGAACTTAACCTGGGCCTTCTATATGGCATTAGCTTGCCAATCAGCAGTATCCAGCATGTACTACCATGGCTGGGCCATAATATAGCTTAATCACAGATTTTTAAAAAAATTATCCATTATTATTATATTTTAGAATTATTTTTTATTTAACTTTATTTATTTATTTACTTATTTTTAAATTTGACCAGAGGGGGACAGAGAAAGAGAGAGAGGGGGAAAATGACAATGCACATCACCATGTCTGGGACTCAAACCGTGGTTGGCCACGTGGGAGTCCAGTGTCCCCAACCACCATACCACCTACTGGCCCCTCAACCACAAATCTTAATCGTACTCCTCTGAACTATGTAGATGTAGCCTAACGAAGTAGCATGCTGTCATATCCTTCAGTTAAACAGCCCTACATGAGAGTCAAATAATAGCCAGGCAGATTCAGAGCAAAAGTGGGCATGAGGCTACTTGTGAAACCCTGCTTTTAAGCTAAGAAGGTAGACTGAGTATGTGAGGAGAGTGAAAAAATGAGAAAAGGAAGGCCCAGGGACCATGCTTCTAGACTAACATTTTCTAATAGAAACATAAGTCAAAAATATATTAAATTTTCTAGTAGCCATATTTGAAAAGTAGAAGAAATAGATAAATATTAATATTTTGTTTATTTAACTTAATAGATTACCACTTTAATGATCACAATATTATCAATTTACTACGTAATCAATATAGAAAGCAGAAATAAAATATTTTAGATGTTTTTTTGTACTACGTCTTAGAAATTGGTTTTCTTTAAATGCCCATGCAACACACTTGAGCTCGGCTCAGCCACATTTCATTTGCTTGACAGCCACATGTGAGTAGTGTCTGCCATACTGGACAGCACAATCCCAGTCCATGTTTTGCCAACTTCATTAAGTAATAATAGTAACAGGCTATTTCTTTCTTTTCTTTTCTTTTCTTTCTTTTTTTTTTTTTTTTTTTTTGAGAGGTTTTGCAATAGGGCTCAGAAAGAGAGAGACAAAGAGACAGAAAGCGAGAAATCACCCCCTAGGGGGCATGGTCATGCCACAATCTTTTCTCCTCCATTCTCCTCTTGGGATCTTGTGCACATACACACACACGCCCGGCATGAGTTTAAGCCACCGGGTCCGGACTTGAACTGCAATCAACTACATGGGAGTCCATTTTGTTGTGTCATAATCTTCCTACTTCAGCGTCCTGTGCAGCTGGAACTACGGGTGTACACCACCATGCCTAGCTCTTTCAGGCAGGGTCTTGCTGAGTCGCTCACACTGGCAACATAGCCATTACACCATCTACTGGTTCAGTAACAGGTTATTTCACAGAAGGCTTTTCACCGCACAATACTGGAAATGTTTAAATTCCTCCAGTATTATATTTTATATACTTTTTCTTTCTTTCATGATCAAGAAAGACAGAGAGATAGGTACCCACCAAAAAGGCCTTCACACTGTGATCTACCCTCCAACTTCATCTTCAATCAGCCCCAGATAATGGGCATGCACATATTCAGTGTTCAGGCAGGTCTCCAGATATGAACACAGAACCTTCTCATGTGGGTTGGTCTAACAGAGAGTTGTGTATTATACTATGTAATATTTTAATAGAATGTTTAATATAGTGTTCCTTTCAAAAGCTTTTTGTGCCTTGTTTTAGCTGATTTTGTTTCAGTCATGATTTGGTGATATGTTTAATATCATTATCTTCCTTTGCTCAGTTGGTTAAAGAAAAACTTGACCAATTCAATTACAGGTCTTTTCCTAATAAGACAGTTCTTGGGAAAGGGTCACTGTGTTTCTCACAATGACTGACCCATAACAGGCTATAAATAAATATCTTTAAATACATATTAAAAGTGAACTAAAGGGGAACCAGCAGTTAGCATAATGGTTATGTCGCTGGACTCCCACATAGTCGACTGCGGTTCGCAGCAAAAATCTCAACCTGAGTACCACATTAGTATCACCTGGGAAGTTAAAAAAAAAAAATCTGCTGCCTGGTCCCATTCCTAGGATATTACTGGTGGGTACAGTGTTTGGCCTGGGTGTCAAGAGTTTTTTAGGGCCAATTTCATGGCCTTGTGGTGAAGGGAGCCAGAACATGGCCAACTACACAGTTTGCACTAGGGCCCCGGTAGATTTAAAAACACACTGATGAACAGATGCATGTCTGAAATCCCAACAGGATGGAAAAATGGTGGAGAAGCCATAGTAATGTGATCATGCTCCATAAGGGGATGCTTGCAATGCTCTCTCTATTACTCTATCTTTCTCTGTCTCTGATAAGCACATATATCTTCTGGCAAATTAAAAAACAAAATCTCTCCATCATGATTATATAGGGTTGAGAACTGCTCTAAGGCTTTCTTAGAATAGCTAACTATGGTCACCCTTGCGTATCTGACACAAAATTCAGTTTGACTGGAGATGATTCCCTTTCTCTGAGTTGACTAAAATTTTCTTGAGAAACCAAGTGATAAAGAAGTCAACATTGGGTCATAGAAAAGGTCATGATATATTTATGTTTTTATATATAAAAATGCATCATGATGTTTCTAGTGACCCAAGGATAACCTCAAACAATAATTTACAAACTCCTTTTCTGAAGTACCAAAAAATTTTTTTCTAGAGAGATTTTTGCTGTAGGATTACTGTACTCACCAGAGAGACAGAGAAAGAGAGGCAGAAAGTTAGAAATCATCCCTCAGGGGGATGGTCACACCACAATCCCTTCTCTTCCATTTTCCTCTTGGGATTTTGGGCACACATGTGTGTACACCTGGCATGAATTTCAAGCCTCTGGGTCCAGGACTCAGATTGTAGTTGGTCATGTGGGAGTCCAGCAATGTAACCATTACACCATCCACTGATCCCCTAAAAAAGTTTTTTTCAAGATTCTAAGCCTATTCCTATTTATCTATTTTCAACAAAAATAATAAATTCACAATGCAAGTGTTATAAGATGCTAGATGATATGAAGAGGAAGGACTCTAGAGCTATTACAACATATGAGTAGATAATACTCTAATTCACATATTATAGAATTTTATAGATATGGAATAAAGTTCAATTAAAGATAAAAATGGAATCCAAGAACCTTACTTCTAGTTAATTGTACAAAGATCAAAAAACAGGCATTATTTAGTTGGGGGGGTCAGCATATGGAAGTATTTCATCTTTTTTTCAGGCTACTTAGGTTATACATATACTATATAATTATAAGCCAATGTGTTTACTTTGATAAGTCACATATGAAACCCACCTAGTTATAGTCACATAGCACATAACTGTTGGTGTCACTGTTTGCTCTCAAGATAGTACTTTGCCAGGCCAGCCCCACAGCACAGTGATTAAGGAGGCTAGATCCCACATGGCAGACTAGTTTGAATCCCACTCCAGTATCTTGAAAAATATTGGGGTCTTTGTTCATGTGTACCTCAAATCCTGACAGGATGGGGAAAGAGAGAAAAGGGAATTATAGCATGACCATTCACCTTTCAGGGTGCTTTCTCCCTTTCTCTGTCTCTTTTTCTTGTCTCTCTCTGGAAAGCATACTTACTCTGTGCAATTAAAAAAAAAATGATGGTATTTGCCTAACAGCATTATTTTCATCACACATGAAGTTCAGCAATGGCCAAGAGAGAACTCTGACTTCTACTTTATACTAACAACTTATCATGGAGGAGGAAGCACTAAGGGAGTAGCTGGAATGGAGTTCCTCTGACTAATGAACTGAGAATTTCCTTGCCAAGTTCCAAGGTGGTTTGGCCACACTTTATATACTGGTCCTGCCTAACAGCCTTTTGTTGATGGCGTAGTATTATGTGGCCTTATTCAATAATAGAAACAGCATGTTGAGATATCCTCAGAGGCTCTTATATACATTTGTTTCCTCTGGCTTTCTAGCCAAACATACACAAAAAAGTTAAAAAAAAAAAAACAAAAAAAAAAACAAAAAAAAAAACCTCTCCTTCCAATACTCCCTACCTCATACTTACTTTTGTTTCACATATGAAAATGACTTAGAGAAATTAGGATAGGAAATACCTAAAAGGTATTAAAGTTCCACATTCACTAACCCTGATCAATACAAGTTTCTGCTCCTGCCAAAATTGTGGAGGAAGAAACAGAACCTGTTAAGATTTCCAAGTAAGTACTGAGTCTCATGCATGTCACTTCCATCTACTAACCCCAAAGGGCTATCAGGACCAGGTGAGTGGATGTGTGACATTTACTTGGCCTCATTTTTCCCATATGAAAAGAAATGAAAAATACAACATGTGTTTCCAAGTTGTTATTTATAAAACAAAGAAGATAATATCCTTCCATCAGTCTGTGCTAAAAATCTGAAATGCATGACTGCATAACCTTGCATGTACATCAGTTATCCGTTAACATGTACTAAGGATTTCATGAATAAACAAAAAACAGTTGTCCTCAAAGAATTTACAAAAACAGGAGTAACATGAAGAACTTAAAATAGTAGAACAGAATGGAAAGGTGATAGAAAAGCTACAGGTCAATGCCATCCACACAGAGTATGTAACCACCATGGGAAGATGGACTCATAGAATCACTTGGGCTGCCTGTGGTCTACCAGCACGGAAGGGATAGTGAACCTTTGGGAGGGATTGCAGGCATGAAGGATGTTTCCGAGCATTATGTATACAGCTGACAACGTCTCCTACCTTTCTGAAAGAATTCCTCTAGTTTGTCCTTGAAAGGCTGCAGATACTCCTTTGGGGACTCCTTGCACACCACCATCATCTGTTTCTCACTTGCTGTGAAGAGAAGTTTAGAATTAGACATACTAAAGGATACATATTTGCTGAGCTCCTGCTATGGACCAAGCACTGTGCTATGAACTTGGGTGTCTCTGCAGACTCTGCATCAGTCACTGTTTGTCCAAATTTGGGGTTGACGGGGGTTCAAAAATAGAAGTAATAAGCAAACCCTTCTTCAGAAACTGAGAAATATATCACATTCAATTTTCCTTTTAGAGATCCAGAAAATTTGTGACCTGGGACAGATAAAGAAGGTTGATTTTGGTCTCCCCAAAATAAAGAGACAAAAGTTGTTTAAGGACTAGTCTCAAGGAATAAAGAACTCTGACCCACTTTAGGTTCCTACTCCAAAAGATTTTCCAGAATTTCCCAGGCAACCAAGCTGTCTGGAACCTCTATATGGGAATTCCTCAGGGTGAAATACACATCCTAACACAAGAACTAAGCCCAAGATAGGGAGGACCATGTCTACTGTTCATGTTTCCCATTTATGTACCCTTCCAATTGATACTCTACTAGCACACATGAGGTACTTTTATGTGATTTGCCTCTGACAGAGTATTAGAATTTATAATATATTGGGTTTTTCTGATAATCAAGTCACCTCAAATTAAATAGTTGTGATTTGGCTACATGGACACCACAATAATCCACAGTTTATCATCATCAAAGGCAGTTAATACAGGCAAGAGTCATTTCCACAAATTTAATTTTGTTTCTTTCTCTCTCTCCTTCCTTCCTTTGAGAGATTTTTGCTACAGGGTATGTGAGCTCACCAGAGAGATAGATAGAAAGCAAGAAATTACCCACCCCACCCCCCCACACCGCCCCAGTGGGGATGGCCACACTGCAATCCCTTCTCTATTATACTCTTTGGATTTGGGGCACAGACACACACGTGCACAGCATGAGTTTCAAGCTGCTGGGTCCAGGATTCAAGCCATGGCTGACCACATGAGAATCCAGTGCCTTAACCACTATGCCACGTATTGGCCCTTCCCCAAGGTTTCTAAATGCTTGTGTCAGATACAGAAATACACTAGAGAAAGGAAGGCTTCATTTCTCCAAGGCTAGAGCTAAGTAATGGTCAGTTTCTCTGCTAACATGGCCAGAAACTACCATTATGTCCTTGTCCAGGGGACCATATTAACATATCAGATTTTCTGGGACCAGCAGATGGCATAGTGGCTATGTCGTTGGACTCCCACATGGCTGACCATGGTTCAAGTCCCAGACCTGGTGGCTTGAAACTCATGTTGAGCGCATGTGTGTGCATGCCCAAGATTCCAGGAGGAGAAGAGATTGTAGGGTGGCCATCCTCCCCTGGGGGGGGGGTGACTTCTTGCTTTCTGTCTCTCTGTGTCTGTCTGGTGAGTACAAGTGCCGTATAGCAAAAATCTCTAACAAAAAAAAAAAAAAAAAGAAAAGAAAGAAAAGAAAACTAGATGTCCACTATGAAGAAATCATGCCACCTGATTTTAAAAAATAGAAATGCCTAGTACAAATTTTGGAGAAATTTACACAAAGGGAAGGCATCTTGGGAAAAAAAAAGGATTGGGAAGGGGACCTTTATTTACATTAGGCAATTCTTATCTAATAACAGGCATTTTCAAAGTTAGCAACCCAGAACAGACAAAGCAATAAAATAAACATATCAGCACCAAAACACAGAAAATGCAAAAGAGGCCACTCAAGTGTGCTCTGAAATTAGTTACCTTAACTTTACATTTGGAATATTACCAAGTGGGTTGCTGAAATGGTAGGTAACTCTCAGAGACTGTAAGACAGTAGGAAGATGAAGACATGATTCGAAGGAATCCCTTTGTCATTTTCTGGATCAAGTTTAAAATACATCACATTCTCAGAAGTATCTATGGATTTGTCAGGAAACAGGGATGCTAGATCTCAGGGGAAGAGTACCTGAATTCAGATTCTTTCTATTGATATTGTTATTTTTCTAGAACTTTGAATAAAAGTTACCTAGAATATTTGCTAATACATATTCTGACAGCCATGCCAATGCTATCTGGGAAACTCTGTCCACTGAGATGCAAAGACTTTTTCTTTTTTAAATGACTTACCTGACTGAAGAAATACAAATTTTACCTTAGGACAAATAGGGAATGAATAAAACGAACCTTAGAAAACATTCCTTTTTTTCCTTAACATTTTTATTTTTCTGTATAAGTTGGTCTTCTCTACAGTAACTACTTTATAACTTCAGTTAATTTTCTCTATAGTAACTATTTTATAAGTTCTATATTGTTATCAGACTTCCCTTTTCCTCTTTCCCAGTAGATGGACCTGTGGCCAAATGGCAAGTACATACTTTCTAGTACATGTAATTCTCAAAATAGGAGGGTCTTTGGCTAGAGCAATGTCAGAGGAGAGAAAAGAAGAAGGAGATTGAGTAGGTAGAGCTGGTAGACATAGGGCTTGCTGGTGCATCAGTGCAAGATTTACAGAGGGAAAAAAATAAAGAGGATGAAGGATGAGCAATGGAGGGCTGGAAGTACCATTTACTGAGATAAGAAAATAGTGAGGAAAGGACCAACAGATGGTGTAATGGTTACATTGCTGGATTCCTAAATAACCGACTGCTGTTGAAGTCCCAGACCCAGCAGCTTAAAATTCACACCAGGAGTGTGTACATGTGTGTCCAAAATCTCAAGAGGAGAATGGAGGAGAAGGGATTGAGGCATGGCCATTCACCCTGGGGGTGGAGGGTGATTTTTCACTTTCTCTCTTTCTCTGTCTCTCCGGTGAGTGCACATGCCCTATAGCAAAAGTCCCTCTAAAATTAAAATAGAAAAAAAAAAGAAAAGAAAAATTTAAACAGTGGGGGAAGTCTTTTTTTTTTCTTTTGTTAGAAGCAGAAGAGATTAAAAGTCAACTTTGAAGTTCATTAAGTTTTCTTCAGTCTCTGTAAATTATAAGGCAAAATCATCCCCTGAAAACAAAGGCAAAAAGGTACAAAAGAAGACAGAACTATTAATAGGTTCTCATTGTTAACGAAATTAAATTCAAACTTCCAGGACTAGGATTTAAAAAGTCCTTATTATAACACCTCTCAACTCTGTTTTCTATAGACACCTGACTGAGCAAACCAAACTATTCAATGTGTCTTAATTGTAGCCACCAGTTGTTCCCAGTTCTATGTCTTCATGCATGTAGTTCCCTAGTCTCACCCCATACTTACTTTCCACTACATCCAACAAAGTCCTATCCATCCTAAAACCTGTTTGCATCCTTAAAACATCTCTACTATCTTCCATACAGTGTTTATGCTTTACCTTTAATTATGTCTATTTACATATCTATATTAATCCGAGAAGTTATCACAGAGGCTTCATTTACTTGTCCCTACACTTTAGGAGTTCCAAGCATTTGGTCAAAGGATCAGATTCCTCCACTGTAAGTAGATTCTCATACAGAGGAAATTCTACTGATAAATAAAATTAGTAATGATTTACATGGGAAGTGGGCTTTCTAGGAGGCAGTGTAACCAGCTTGTGTCTCCCCTCCCACCCCCCCTTCCTAAGAGAGGTGTGCCAATGGTTCACAGTCTCTTCACTTCTCAAACATCAGAAGGTGTCCCAAGCTATGTAGAAAGGGCCTCCTATATTATAAAGACCTTCAGAAATGTCTACCATTTCACCCTGTGAGGCATAAGCAAGGTAACAAAGATGATTGTCTTGGTGAACAGGTTCTGAGGGTAGGCCAAGAAACAAACAATCGATAAGATACATGTCAAAAGCTGTCTCCTGGGACCAGCAGATGGTGTAATAGTAACGTTGCTGAACTCCCACATGGCTAACGGTGATTCAAGTCCCGGACCTAGAGGCTTAAAAAATTATGTCAGGGATGTGTGTATGTATGCCCAAGATCCCAGGAGAAGAATGGAGGAGAAGGGATTGTGGCATGGTCATCCCCTGGGGGGAGATTTCTTACCTTCCCTCTCTCACTGTATCTGTCGCACTGTCACTCTCTCTCTCTCAGGCAAGTGCACATGTCCTAAGGCAAAAACCTCTTCAAACAAACAAACAAAACTCCTTTAAAAAATCAACATTTATCAGTGACCTTTCATAGCTATGTAAGCTTTTCTGGTGATGTGCATGCAGCTCATATTCTGACATAACTGTATTTAAAGGAAAGCTAGAATTACTCATTGGGAGAGCTCTTTAAATTCTTTAACCCTCTATTACTTTCAAATTTCAATAATTCTATTTATATGGAACTATTTTTGATGCACGTATATAAAAGATGAGACATGCTTGCAGTGTAGTAATAGGATATAACTGAAGCCATGACACAAATCCCTTCAAGGTTACTTCTTCCAAGCCAAAGAAAGGGCCCATTTCTCTACCTACAAACACAAAACAGCTCTTCCATTGTCCTGGCAGTGGCGACAGAGTCCTGTGGAGTGCCCATCAGCTACTTATATTTTTTATGGTTATATCATAGGGTGACAAAGAGCTTGTACTTAGATTGAGACCCACTTGGGCTCAGGTGGGCTGTTGCTTAATTTTCTTTTTTTCTGCAAAATGCCGTGCCCCCATTGGCACAATAAGAGAATTATAAATGGAATATGCATGAGAAGTGGTTTGCAGAATGTCTAGCACTAGCAAGCAGGATCATAAATATTATTTGTTACTTCTATGATTTTGTTAAAAAAAAAAAACTGAAAGGGAAACACTCCTAGCCACCATAGCTGGGGATTACTCCATATACATACTGTACACTGTATTTTTAGAAACACACCACAGTGCAAATCTCCTGTCTAGAACATAGGAATGATTTTTACTAAAACTCTTGCTAAAGTTCCATGACCCATTGTGAGAATTCACTGAAAATTGTAAGCGAATTCCTGGGGAAAGATGAAGCAAAATGTGCAACAATTCCCCTAGGCTTCTGAGACTCACAGTTTTGAAATTAGAAACTGAAACCAGTACAAATGAGAACAGCTTCTCTGCTGTGTTCAGAGGTCTTCTCTGCAC